TCTCTCGCTTTGTTTTAACAAGCTCCTTCTCGGGTGCCCATTGCCAGTGCTATATTACCTACAGGGCACAGGTTTTTTTTGGCTATCTCATATGCTACGTTGACTCCAAGCAGCCTTGGTGTAAAAGCAGATGAGATGATTTATTTTTATCACTCATGTTTTCTCATGAGAAAGAGAACCCCTTTGCCCTGCCCTCTCTGCTGGCTTCCTCTTAGCACAGTCATTTGCATCTTGGCAAATGGGGGTCTATAAAATGCTACTGAATTAAATCAGCAAAGTGTTTCATCATATTTATTTTGCAATCACAGTGATAGATGTTTTGCTCATCTCAATAGCTGCAGTCTCATTGATTTGAGTGGATTTTTCCTTCTTTGCATGAAAAGGGAATTGTCTCAACCTGGACAGGTGGCCAGAAGCTGTTAGAGATGACAGACAGCAGAGGATTGGCCCCTGTGATTTCAGGTCTGATCACAGTTGTTTGCAATTCTCCTGCACACTCATGGAAGACACTTTATGTGTTAAAACTTGCTGCAAGCCTTTGATAACTTTGACCTTTTTAAAAAAGCCTTTTAAATTTTGATATTCCCTGAGAAGACAGATGGTATTTTTTTGATTGAATAGATAGAGATTTCATGTCTAAACGCATTTCTTGGTTTCACTTTGTTGGACTGGTGAACTGCTCTCTGTTAAGTTCTCTGCAGCTCACAATCTTTTCTTTCAATTTGTTTTTTAATGATACTATCAAAATGTTACAAAGAATTAAATGGGCAGAAATCCCCCCGGAAAACATTAGTAATGTCCTGCTAGTGTCACCCCTAGGATCCAAATGTGGATATTCAGGTGCATACAGTCCTCTCCTGCAATTACACTTCCAAGCCAAAAATTGCTCTTGATATCTTCTGATCGGATCAAATATTTGACTCCAATTGCCCTGAGTAACCAGATACAGAGCCTCTAGAAGCAGGTAGGAAAGCTGTGAATAAATTGCAGAGCTTGTCAAAATCTTTGGCTCCAGAGAGGGTGAGAAAGAGCCCTCCAAGTACTGATGCTGAACCCTGGACATGCTGGGTGCAGTGCATCTCTTGGCTGCAGTCTCTTGAGACAACAGCTGAAATACCAGCACTGGTGCCCTATTTTCTTCTTCCATCACCTGAATAAGTAATCTGGAAACAAGGCAACCAGTACATTTTCAACAAACTAAGGGAATCCCTCAGAGCAGTTCTCATGTAGAGCACAATCGTAAAAGTCCTGGCAAGAGATCAAACCCTTTCCAGATCAGTCCACCACATGCCATTGCTAGCACGGGCCGTGTCAACAGTTAAATAGCTGGTGCAGGGGCAGGAGACAGAGGCTGCTGTGTTCTTGGGGCTGCAGCTCAGGCAGAAGATGAAATCATGGTAGTTCAACATTTGGTGAAGACTTAACTACTGATTTTCTGGCTTTCTGTTCATGCCAGAATAAACCCTGCTTGTGCTTGAAAACAATTTTGGTTGGTAGCAATGCATATGCATGTATTTGATCCTAATTATTTAATAAAACCTTCAAACCCAAGAAGTACAACTACCTGCTTTTGCAGGAGAACATAGCTACAATCTTTGGTTGGTGGTGAGGTGGCTGCAGCACTGTATTTGTAGGGCTTATCATGCTCTACTGGTCAGAGAGTGATTTTGAATGTCTTATAAACAGATGCATGGTACAGGAAAAAAACAACAGGCTGTATTTTTTGCCTTGGCCTTATTGTTTATGCCCTTAGCAAGTGCAAATTCTTAACTTAGTATTTAAAGCTTGTTTTCTCTACAGAGTACAGACCCAGGACACATGGCTGAGACTGAATGTGGAGACTTGAATGTTTATTGGGGAGCTGGAAAATACGTCTGTTTATTGTCGTTTCAGATGTTGGTTTGGGTCAGGAACAAAGTTTTCAAATTTTCAAAGTATTTTGATATATTGATCCTTGTGACATCTTTGTGTTTATTTCAGACACCGGGGATAAAGGCAATAAGAAAAATTTCCAAACAAATTCTACACTTGGTCTGAATTAAATCAAAACCCAGATTTCATACAGGCACCTTAAGCATTTAGTACTTCAGGAATGATAATTTCCAGAAGGGTGGTTTTCTTTGGTGGTATTCTGAATATCCCAGTTCTTGGCTACCAGAGTTGTAGGTTGAGCAACTTTGAGGCCGCCTGCTGATCCATATCATCTGAGATCTGAGTCTCTTTAATGAATCTCAAATTGAGCATCCAAAAGCAGAAACACTCCAATTCATAAATCACTGTGAGAGACCTTGGCCTGACCATATCAATGAAGAACAATAGTTCCCCAGTAGAAAAGAAGCATGACATGTTTCCAGTGACAGTTATATTATTGGTCACTTACATTTATTTGGCAAAGATGTGCCTTAGCTTCACTTTGGAGGTGTAAATCAACATCATCATGACTTTGGGTATTGTCTGTGTTTGTGTCTTCATATGGATTTTAGACTAATGATTGATGACATGTCCTTCAAAGGTCTCTTTAAAAATCCAAATCCTGGTCTAATAAGATTAAGGCTTTGCTGAAACACATTGTAGATGGGGTGCTAGAATATTTATATTAATATTTTGCTACAATGCTACACAGGGGTGTATCGGTGTAAAACTGCTGTTGCTGCTGGCATACTTTGGGTTCCTTACACCATCAGCTGAAAGTTTTATTCTGGGAGTTTTAGAGAGTTTTATTTTAATAAAACTAAAAGGCATTGTAGAAATGAAATGTGGAACATTTGGAGAAGGGTGCAGTGCTATGCATAATTTATTGGGCACTGTTTGTAAAGTCAATTGTTAAGTTATAAATAATGTACAACCTTAAAACAAAGATGAACGGGTGAAACTGTGGGTAGTTATTTCCTCTGTATTTCTATTAAAAAAAAAAAAGGTTTCAAAATTTGTTCAGTCACATTTTGATTTAGTTATTGATATTCACAGTGTTGTGCCTATTTTTGGATGTATTGCATTTAAGACTTTCTTCTCTGCTGTGCAGAGTGTCTTTCCCTCCAGTAAATATTCTGCAGCCTGTAGGACTGTTCTTAAAGCTCGGTGAGGTGCCCAGGCACAGCCAAGGGGAAACCACAGGGAGGCAAGGAAGCCTCTGTCATACTGAATTTCCAGGTCTCAGAGCTACTGAAGAACAGCTTGACTTGCCTCATCAGCATAAGGTCCCCCAGTGGCTGTTCCAGTTTGGCACCTACCATTGTGATAGTTTCCCCCAACTCATCCTAACCTCAGCTCCCATTTCTTTTAGGTGGAGGGCACCAAGGGTTGGCACAGGGAGCAGCTCCACAGCCTACACCAGATGGGTGCTTTCTGCCAACAGAGAAGTCGCTTGAAATGCAGAAATGCTGAACCCATTTAAGATCATTAAACATGAGTTCAGTGGATTTAAGAATACAGTCCATATACTTTTCAGAATAATTTATTATAGGACTGTGCATCGGTGCTCAGAATGAGGTGAGAAAGAAATTTCTCCTTAGAGCCTCTGAGCAGGTTTTTTTCCATGGTAGAGATATTTCCTGAATGTAAGTAGGAATAGCACAAGGTGGGACTGATGAAACAACAGGGCTAAAAGATATTATTTTGTCATATGTCATGGTCTCAGCATCCCTCACAGGTACTGTGGAGCACTGGGAACTGCCTGGTTTGAAATCTCCCAGTTCTAAAAGTGGTGCTGACTCAGAGCTGTGATACTGGGCAAAAACATTCGGGCTGTTGAGGAGGAAAGTCATGACCAATCTGAACTTAGGAGTGAAACGTTTCCTAGAACTGAGCCTGAATAAATTCTGGAACGGCTGGACAGGAAATAAGCTAATAATGGGATTTTACACTATGCATTTCCCATATAAGGTATTGAAATGAAGCATGGGCTTGTTTGCTGATCTTCAGGCTATTTTGATGAAAATTTTAGGTTTCTTCCTGTTCGTGTTCCATTACGATTGTGAGAACTTTGCTCCATTCCAGATTGAAGCATTTGTCATCAGTGGTCCCTGGATGAACCATTCTTAGACCAGACCAGGGAAGAGACTAGTTAACAATTGCTCCTTGCTGCCTTTTGTTTGGGTCAGGGAGCTGTTTCCCCTAGCCCTGGAGACTGATGCATAGGAAGGGGAAGAGAGGTGGGGAGTGCCCGTCTCAGTGCGGTTCATGCTTCTGAAAATAAGCTCCCCAAAATCTGATGTGGGGAAAGGAAGCCCTGGCTCCACAGAGCCTGCTGTCTCCCTCAATAAACAAAGGACTGGATTTGGGCAAGGTGCCCAAAGTGTTGGTGCAGGGTGCGTTCCCGTCCTCACTGCTCTGCCTGGCCTTTTAAGGCTATGTGACTATGCTGGAGACCTCAGTAAGGTGTGTAATCCAGCCATGATTAATGAGCACCAGGCTCTTCTGCAGCTTCAGGGATTCTGTAGCATTGATCAAATTCCCTTCTCACGAGTAACTCACTAAGATTTTCAAGGTTTGGCCTCTTCTGCACCGTGAATGCAATCTCTTGCCAGCTCTTATGCTATATTAATTTAGAGCCATCCACCTTTCCAAATGTGCTCAGGATTGCAGAACAGGTTTTGCTTGTAAATGTGAGGCCAGATGTTCAGAAGAGGAGAGCTCCCGTTTAGGCAGCTAGCAATTACTGCTGGGACACACCGATCGCAGCTGGAGACCTGAAATCTGCAAGCTTAGACAATAAAATACTCAAGCTGGCTGGTTGGTGCAGTGCTATAAGAAGTGGCCTTTCAAAAGTTCTTTCAAAATAGCATCATGGTCTCAGTTTTAAACCACAGCTTGTGCCTAACTAGTTATGCTGATTTCTTGCCAAGCAGGGGCTTGTTATCTTGTTACAACTAACATTTTCCATTTCTTTTTCTGCAAAGTCCATTAATGAAGGCGAAATGAAACAATGAAAGTGGCTACTGGCTAGATAAGAAATAGGTCTGATTCATTCATAAATGTTTCTTTTTTTTTTTTATTCCCAGTGACATATTTGATGCCATGTTCCCCGTCACACACATCGCAGGAGAAACAGTCATACAGCAGGGTAATTCTTCCTCTCATTTTTCCCCTTGTATGTTTGCTAAAGTTGTGCAATTCACATCTCTTCATCTGAGATTCCACCCTCTTTGTTTAACAGAAAGAATAACCATATTCTAAAAGCACTGAAGCGTGCAGGTATGTTGTAAGTTCATGGATGTAGGTCTTCTGCTCCATGTGCAGAGATTGCTACAACACCACACTGGTAGATTTCCAGAGTCCTATGTAGATAAAGTTAAGTGTAGTTAAATGTAGATAAACAGCACTCCAAATGAAAACGTTCATTCCTTAACTGAAGGTAGTCAGGAAGTAAACCCCAGCTCAGAATGCATAAGGGTGGCACAGGTTAGCTGAGAGCAATTAGAGATGGAAAATATTTTTATGGTTGTTGGGAATCTTCAAGACCTCATTGTGCTGCACTGTAGTTATCGCACTTGGCAACTTCCCTGGGTGCCTGCAGGGTGCTGTGGAGGATTTCAGTACCCTCAGGCTGCACTGAAGCCTCTTGTGTGTTTACACTGAGTGAAGTGTTGAATCAGTCGAAAGAGATAAATTAATGCAATTGAAAGACATTAATAGGAAGAAATCACAGTGATAGTTAGATTTATGAAGGCAAATAGGCAAGGATGTTCCAGAAAATGAATCTCTAAGTGATCGGGTGTACAAACCTGTGCAAATATGTACAGGGTTAAATACAGAGGCAGGAGGTCACTGAATAGCTTAGCAGACCTCCAGGAGACAATCACTGTTTGTGTTTTCCTTCCAGGTGATGAAGGAGACAACTTCTATGTGATTGACCAAGGCGAGGTGGATGTAAGTACACTCTTACACTGTAATATTTATTTTGAAGCTACATAATAAAATTGTTTGCTCTGGCACACAGCTTGATCCAGCCACGTGCTGTGGTTCTCTCTCCTTTCTTCTCGAAATAGATTTCACAGGATTGGTCTCATTACTTTGCTTTTGTTGTGTTAAGTCATTTGTGAATAATTTTATAATTGGTATGTTTTACATCCTAGCTTATTTGTCCATTCCAAGCAGGAAAACATGGTATCAAACCCAAGCAAATGACATTCTCTTCAGAACCCTAACCACACCTGGAGGTGTGCAGTCTTTGGCAGAGCAGGCCACCATGCTGGAATGCACCCGAGGGTTCAGATCAACCATAAGGAAAATATTTTCTTTAATCAGTTAGCTTAGCTCATGTGTTGGTTTTGTTGTTTTTTGTTTTTTTTTTTTCCCCAAATTGAGATACAGCCTCAGGCAGCGAGTTTCATCTTAGAAACCTTAATTTGCTTTTAAAATTAGGTCCAAATATATGAACAATGCAGCATATTAATAAAGCAAGGATTATTATAAGTGTAAAGTGATCTGTTAGACCACAAAATGGTTACAGGAGTATGCAGTGGTTTAATCAGCAAGTCTTTGAAAAGAAGCTGCTTTCTGAACCTACCTTCCAAATCATAATCTATTCACCTCTTATCATTTTGTATCCCATATGAAACTCAACCTATTGCAGTTTTTGCTACAAGTGCCTCATCTGACTGAATTTTCTACACACACCTTATGTATCCACAGTTCTCGGGTAAGGACAGGCTTGCTCATTAGCAACGTTGCTCTTCAGATGCCCTGATGAGTTTTGCTGGGCATATTTAAAGAAGAAAGTGATTTATTTTAAATCCAGGCGGGAGGCGTACAGTTATTTTAGTGAAAGTTATTTCTTTTTTAGCTGTCTGTTTGTGTCAGGAGACCATCTAATTGGTATTGTTGGGAATTGAGAAACCTCACATGCTGCCTCTGCCTCTGGAAGTTGTTCCTCAGGAAATCCGTCTGACTCACTGTTCCTATCAGGCATAGCTCTCCATAGCAAACACTGCCACATCCACAGGGCCAGGAAAGAAAAGAGCAGTATTTATAGAACAGTGCTAAAATTCAGTTTTAAAATAATTGGTTAGGGACCGATACTGAGCTTAATGAGTTCATTGGCTTTGAATCAGACCCACAAACATACGCAAATGCACATATTGAAGTTATAGATTAATCCTCTTTAAAAATAATTTGTCCTCGCTCAAAACCTTTAGGAAAGCTTTCTTCAGCGTTTGGCTCAGGGATAGGGGGAAACTGAATGACATAAGAAAACAGTCTGCAAAACTCTTGCAATTAATTGCAGAAAGATAATCTTCCATATGTGCACATTCCTCTTACAGAGCAGTGACAAAATGGGGAAAATAAATGTCCAAGGCCTAACTAGCTTTGTGTCTGCTTGTAAAACCATTGCACGAGGTGGTTTGTGCATCTTCTGTAACTGGTGGTTGCCACTAGTGGCCAGCAGGGCCATGGCTCTGCAAATGTTGAGTCCTTGTTTAGAACACCAGATGCTGTATTCTTTGTCAGCTAAGCTGGCATCATAGTTCCTTTCCCAGGTATATCCTGCATCTACTCAGAAACACCTCTACTACATCGTGTTAGTTATATATCAGAGGTTCTCCGTGGTTTTATGGGAGGTTGAAATGCTTTCATAAATATTCTTGACCACGAATGGCCCAAGAAGACATGTGTCCAGATCATTTTTTCATGCTGTGGAAAGCAAAAGAAACATTTGCTCATCCAGCAGCCAGTTGCAGCTACACCCTTGTAGCTACAGAAGTGATCTGCAGAACTGCCTCTGCTGGGAAGCTGCAGGGAGGTGAGCCCATTTTCCCCTCGCAGAGTCAAGTCTGTACCAGGGCAGTTAGTGCAGAGTAACTTGCTCCTGTGTAAGGCAGCAGCTCCCAGACCCCATGGGTGTGCACTATCACACCACGTACTGTGCTCCCCACAAAAGGGTACTTCCACAGCAGTGCTAAAATCCTTATTGTCTGAAGAAAATCCAGACTGCTAGTAAGCGAGCTGCTGTTCATTTATGCCTTGCCAGATATGTTTTTGGCATGCTTCCACCCTTCTCCAAGAAAAAAAGCGACTTGGAGAGTAGACAATTGACCCTGAGACTTAAAGCCTCAAGCCATTTTCTGCCTAGTTCAGTTGGTGTTGGCATATTCATGGAGGCTTTTAACCTCTGGCCAGGGGATCTGCCTTCATCATCTCCCTGCTTGCACGGAAGTGGCAGGTATAGCGGGACTGGTGGATTCAAGGAGCAACTTACTCTGAGAACATCATGGCTGATGAGCAGCCAGGTTTTCCATACACATGCAGATACACATAAAGGAGGTTGCAATTACCATCATAAAATTCCCTTGCCCCGGAAGGAATTTATGGCAAAACTGAGACCAAGAAACCAAAACCAAACAGAAACCACCAAAAAAGCCAGAATAACAAAATCAGTGTGTGGTGTTTTGAGTTTAAAAACTGGCAACATTTAGAAGAGTTTTGATGTAGGCACCCCAAGGAGTAAGCAAGGGCATTCTAATATTCCCTGTTAAAAATAATCTGAGTCAAATTAGAAGTAAAAGAAAATATTTTTACATATAATAACACTTTATCCTCGACTCTTATACTTTCTTAGGGTATAAATAAGCCTTGTTAGCATAGACTAAAGTATATTTCCTTCGTGTTACTATGGACAGCCAAAGACTCGATACCCTTCTGCTGGCAAACACAATCAAGATGGTCTGTAGGCCAAGGGAGGAGGGCACAAATTTTCATATGTAAAAGACAGGTTTTTTAGAAATCAGGAGGAGGTAGGTCTTGGAGTCCCTGGGGTTTTCCTCTCATATACTGTATACTCCAAACCAGGTATACTTTGACCAAAGCTGGCATAGGATGGGAGAGGACACTACAGTGTGGTCAATGGCAGTCTTCTTCCTTAGCACTCCAGGGTTGATGGGATTTGTTAACTCATGACCTGGCCCTGCAGATGGATAAAGTTTATACTAGGTAAATGATGGTGTAAGGTTTGAAGTCGAAGAGGTCAGTTGTCTACTGGAAGCTTTTCTGCTCAGACAGATGTGAAACATATGCCAAAAAGTAGCTGGCAGAGCTTAAATTATAGTTTCCAGTAAAGATGTTGAAAGTACCTGCTAAAGTATGTGTCTTGCAAAAATCTCTAATGCATATTTCTAAATATAAAAATGACTTCCTGTTTATTATTTTAATCTTATAACCTCACATTTTTGACTTTAAAAAGCACCGGCAACTACCCTTTTAAAACAGATGTATTTTTTTTAGACTCAACAACTTCCTATTCTATTTAATGTCACAGCAACTTTCTCTACAGTCATTCTCAAGTTTTCTTCTTGTAAAACAACAGCAGCCAAACAACAGTATGGTGAAAATCAAAATGAAAACTTTTCAGTATTTTGTCTTAAAAGGTTTTTAATTACTGTATGAATCTATGTGTGGAGCAATATATGAATATTGTGCACAATAGATAAGATTATCATCTGACTTTAGGTCAAATCTTCTTGAAAGCTTTATTTGTGTATAGAAACTAATTTGTATATACAAAGATGAAAATTAAATGGTAGTTTATGTGAGAATACTGTTACATTTTAAAAGTAGTTATATTTTATGGCTAGATTCCATAGATTACTTTTGGTTTGAATTCTTCCATTATTAATGATCTTTCTAATTTCAGAAGGATGGTTTTTGAAATTTGAAACAGAACATTTTAAAGTTGGGAGTTTTTCAGCCTCAAGTTTTAAGGATTCTCAAGGCAGTCTCCAAGTTCATATATTTATATATATAAGAAGAGCAAATTCATAATACAAATAAAGCACTGGCTTTATTTGAGAAAGCTACCCACATATAAATAACCTTCCTGTCTAAGGCTTGCTTCTTTTTCCAAGAATAAATAGACCTCATCTGCATATTTGGATAACAAATATTAAGGCTTGACAAGTCACAAAGCACAAATTATTACAAACAGATCCGAGGGAGGGGATTTTACATCTAAAAGTTGCAAAGGCTGGAACAAATGACATTGTCCATGTAGATCACAAAGTGGCAGTAAAAAAAAAAAAAAAGCTAAATGCTAACTTGAAATTAGCAATGCAAAATTAAAGAAAAGGTAAGTTCCCTCCTGTGAAGCTTGGACATAGATGTTCACAGACTCTCTTCAAAGTAAGATGGTTATATTACTGCTTTTGGTAAGGTCCCTCTCTACTTCTCTAGACAACAGAAAGATGAGTGAGGCCCAGATGCATTCCTATTGCAGGGAGCATTGTGTGACTCGTTGCATTTTCTCTTGTAGTTGGCACCTACATATATCACAGCCCATGAAGAAAGGGACTGCTGATGTTCACAGGAGTTTTGTTCCATTTGCCTCCTAAAAAAATAATGAAATGAACCCAGTGGAGTGATTTTTTAAGCCCACAAAAATTACAGTGATTGCATTACTACATGATGGCAAATGATAGAAATCTAAAGTCCTTTTGATCTGTGGAAAGTAGGTGGCCCTGGTGGCTTGGTCATATCTGGGCACCTGCAGTTCTCCAATCCTCTTCAGCTGCATGAAAGAAGGCTCCAGCTATTATGGAGTGGTGACCAGCAGGTCAAGTAACAATTAGGAATAACTCACTTAGATCCTCACCACTTTGGTGATAGTTTGAAAATGCCTAAAACTGCCTGAACCAAAACCTCAGCCCAGCATTTTTAGGATAAGGAAGGAGATTGTCTGAGCTGCTGCCATATAACATTGGCTTTCATAAGCTGTTCTGAGCCTAAAATAGCTTTGCTTCCCACACCTTACAAACAGAGCTACTTTCCTTTCTACTTCTTTTTTTAAACTCTGTTTTAAAGGGTTTCATAGCAGAGCGGAACTCTCTGTTAAAGGGCAAAATATCTTTGTAATGTGCCATCCGTGCACTTGAGCTTCATCATGAAGTAAAAGTTGATTGTTGACTTAGGCCTTTGCAGATAACGAAGTGCAATGGTTTTCCTTCTACAAAACAATTATCCTCAAGCTGTTTTCTCGTTTGGAGGTTGATATTAGAATTAACATTTTTATTGGGGGAATGAATGTTGGGCCAAAAGAGTGTCAGATCAGTGATTTGGTTTCACCTCAGAGCACTTTAAACCTGATACCCTTAGGGTGGAAGAAGTGCCATTTCCATAAACTGTTTACAGGTGAGATGTGAAACATGTTTTGGGCACTCTTGTCAAGTAAAAGAGCAAAATTAACTAAGTCTTAGAACAGTTTAGTAGTAGCTTCTTTTTATAACAGCCATGCAACAGTAAATGTCCATCTTTCACTTGCTCTGCCTTGGATTTTACCAGCATAATTCCTCTCTCTGGGCTGCAGTCGTATCATGCATACTGCTTTAATAAGAAATGTCACCATATTGCTCAGAAAAATACATCTTGGAATGAGTTTATTTCCCAGTTATAATTCAGACCCTTCTGCTATAACGAAACTTGTGCTTTTAACAACAGAGCATATAGAAACCTGTGTATTTTTGGTGTGCTGAAAAAGAATCAAGAATGGAACATCAGTTGACATTTAGGATGTGGTCCAACATTCACTGGAATTATTAGATTTTCCCCATCATCCCTGAGACTTTTTACTGAGGACATGAATTACTGTTCTGTAGCAAACCCTCAGTCCACCTGGTGAAATCCCCATAGAAAGGGACTATCCCTACATTCACATATGCGTCTGGACAATTTTGCAATGGTTTCATTGAGTTTAAAAGTTTTCATATATTCTCATTATGTTCTAAGCCTTTCAGAATCCCCATTTTATTCATCCAATTCTCCTGCTTGTTTCACAAAACAAAAAAAAATCCAGGTGACACATTATTACCTGCTTGTTACACCAGGAAACTGCTTGGGTTTGCCTGACATTCTTAAAGCTTCTTTTTTCGCTTCAATTTTTTTCATCATGAGGAGAATCAAAAGTCAATTCAACGTTCTGTGAGATTTTCTTTCTGCAGTGAGTGTAAAAGCTTGAAAGGAAGAGCTGCTTTTATTCTCTTGTGAGATATTCTATCTGACATTGATTCTGTCGCAGCGATGAAATGAAGCTATAGCTTTTGTGGCTTTTTTGTGGCTCTTTCTTGGCAGTCTCTTACCACCTGCCTGTTTGGGATTATTTTACCCTTTATTTCAGCCCCTTGATGCTCCAGGAACACCAGGAGCCACAACATTGCCTGGAGTTCAGCACTGATGCTAATACTGCTCCTTTCAGCTGATACCCAAGAGGTCTCTCGATCAGCTGAACTGCTCCGTGGCCTCATCCATCTCCTACTGAACCAGCATTTCACTGACCTCAGTAGGAGCTGGATCAGATCTTAATTGAATATTGGGAAGATAAATTGGGATTGATTCCAGCTCTAGTTTGTAATACGCTTTTTAATCATAAAAGGAAGATACAAGTAAAATTTATACTGACAGTTTGTTGAATTTTGACGCCAGTTCATTTATTTTGATCACTGTCTTTTCTCATGCCCAGCTTGAACACAGCTCTAATTCATTTTTTTTAAAAAAAACAGCTGGTCTGTTACTCAGTAATTTGTAATACGTTGTGGTCTTTTCCTTTGGCATAATTTTCTGCCCAAGATGAGAATACCTGCTTATTTTCTTCATGCTACTTTTTTTTTCACAGAGCTCCCAAACAAATTAAATTAATTCGGGTTGATTTCTGCAAGAGATTGAGGCATATTCTGCACTGGGTAAATGCACACAAACTTCCCTACCTCTAATCTCAGAGACACATTAAAAGAATAAAAATAACTTATGTTGTAGATTTGTAGCAGCTAGCCTACTAGCAGGGTGCAGAATAAGCAATCCATACCAGCATTTGAATACACCATTATGTCTCATGAGCTGTATTGTCCATGAATAGTGGGGAAAAAGCAACCCAGTGGGAAACACCTGCATGAGTCCACCTCTCTCCAGTGAAGGTTTTACATAGCACGTAAGTGTAGAAATTCCTCTCAAATTAGATGTCATCCAGGAGAAATACTGTGATAGTGGTATTGCCCCATACTGTGTGTTGAGAGGATGTTATCTACACTGGCTGTGGGTCAAATACTGTTTCCTAAGTTCTGATGTTAAAGATGAAGGGTAATTCTGCATATAGCTTCTCAAGTCCGAAGCACTTAGCACTCTTCACTGAGGGAGAAAGAGATCTCAGTAGTTATATTTGAATGCTTGTTGGAGGCACTAGGCTTAGGGAAGAAAAAAAACGTTCTTTTTCAAAAGATGTTTCCTTGTTTTGACTGTTTTTCATTTCATGGCCATGGTGCTTTTCAGCAAACCTCATTACACATATCAACAAATCTCCTTCCTTTCAAGTTTGACAGTGTTAATAAAAAGCCAAAGTTGTGACAGTTCTGCTTGTTGACTGTCTGAGCCTTGAACACAAGAGGGAAAACATGATGCCAGTTAACCATAGGAGCTGAAAACTCGGAGAGTAAATACAGTCATTGTACTGAGACAAGGCAACTTGAAATTCTGTCCACAGAGCAGGTTGTTGCCCCTTTTGGGGACCAACTGTGGCGACTGTTACGCTCTTGTTTTCCTTCTGTGGCCCTGGCAATGCCGATTAGAAAGGAAATTGCTAATAGCTTTTTAGGTAACTGGCAGTAGAAAAACTGCAGCTAAGTCCCCAGACTGATTTTGCTTCTTGTTCTGCCTTGTGCTGCGGTAGGTTTATGTCAACGGGGAGTGGGTCACCAGCATCGGAGAGGGAGGCAGCTTCGGGGAGCTGGCACTGATCTATGGAACACCCCGGGCTGCCACCGTCAAGGCCAAGACAGATCTCAAGCTCTGGGGCATCGACAGAGACAGCTACAGACGCATTTTAATGGTGAGTGTGTGGAGAAGGGCTTGTTTATGGAGTTGAAATTTTTTATTTTCATTCGTAGCAGCAGCACTTCTATTCCGTGTTCCGAGTACGCTGCTGATAAAAGGCTGCACAGCCTGTGTTTCTGCATCAAAGAGAGAGGACATGACAATAGCATTGAGTAACTAAACGAAGTGAACTGAAGGAAAAGGGGACAATATTCAGCAGAAAGAGGCTGAGTCAGAAATGCAGCTGAATAACATGCATAACTATTAAACATGAATGAAAACCTCAGGAGGCCTCCCTTACCCACCGAAGCTATGCAAATCCTCTCCTTATCACAGACCTCAGAATGTCGTTCAGCACTCCCCCTTGCCTATGAAGTCTTCGTCTGAACTGGTATTAAACTCTTCAAGGCAGGCGGTGCAAGGTAAATCCAGCTCTGCTAAGAAAAAAAAAGGTCTTGGTGGGACTGTGCCCTCCACCTTTGTTAGCCAGCTCACAGCCACACCTAGCATGGGATGGCAGCTGCAGAATCCCTGCTAAGGATTCACTGCTCTGCTCCTTTCGAACTCCCTCACCCCTGCAGCAGAGCTCAACAGACCTTCTGGGCACCTGGGGTGTGTGCTCTCTTATGGATTTGCTGTTGGTTCTTGAGTGGTGAGTTTATAATGGAAGCTTTGACAGATGATTAACTTCAGCAATGTCATAACTTTTTTTATGAGTTTGTTTCCGATGTCCATGTGCATATCTTCCTTCTCCATAAAATGTTCCTTTCTTTTTGATAATTAACAGACGTAACTCTGTGTAAAGCTTCTTTCTCAGTAGGACTTGTCTCTAAAAGATGCATTGTTTCATTCCGATCTGAAGGAAATTACACTGTGCTCTCAGAATAATAAAGGAGTATGCCTTTTGAGATATATTTCCAGTGGATGTCACGGATAACACAAAAATTAGCAGAAGAACTGAGTAGATTTTACACTTAAATGATTAGCTCTTAAGGAACAGAACGTAAGAGTGATCTTTATTTATACTGTGTGGTGACTGTTAGATGTCTGTATGAAGCACTGCTGGTTTTCACTCTGTATCTCATCAGCTGGGTTCTGTGTCACATAAACGAACATCACACTGACATCTAGGAGACTACATCTAATGCAAATTCACTCTATCCCAAAATATTCAGCCTGATCATTCCAAGACAAAATAGTGATGCATACTGTCTTCTCTCCTGTGGGTAAGTGGAATGAATAGGTTCTGAATGCTTCCCAGTGCAGGGGAGGAGGCAGTAGTGACTGAGACCCTTCTGCAAGGTGTTTCTAAAACACAGAGCAAGACAATTCCCTAACAGATCTAGGAGGCACACTGAACTTATTTGTCTCACATCCTACATGGGTGCAATGGAGGGGTGTCTGGGATAACTGTGTGAGGAACCTTTGTGCTACAAGGGAGAATCCAAGGTGTACAAGAGAAGGAATGAAGGAGAGAAATAAATGTCAGGACAAGCCACATACTCCTTTTAAGCACAGCTTTTTACAGCTGCCTATAACCTTGCTAATAAGAATTGAAGGGAGAGATTCACAGGCCTTGTAGCCTAGAGGTAATTTCAGTTTTAGTGTTGATGAAAATAGTGGTACCTAACATCATCCAACGTTGGGAGCTTTCAGATTTGGTCATGTGTCCATTACCATCTGATAGCAGCCTTCAGAAGATGAATATTTGATGCAGAGACAGGATTTTACTAAAAGGATTTAAAGTCCCAAGTGGAAAACACTGTTTTTAATCTAGCTTTAGCTGTGCAGGCAACTTGAATATTGCGGATATACATCTGTTTGATTCTAGTGTAGTGCTAAGTGCTTTTCAAATTAATTTACATATTCTCTGAAGCAATGACTGCTGTATGTTACCTAGCAAGCTCAGCTTCTGCAGTTTGATGAGGCCTTTAACTTAACCTGGAGGAGTTTTCTTCCACCCCACCCCACCCCACCCCCTTCTTGTGTTTTTTTTTACAGTTTGAGCCATTAAAAATTGGTGGTCTGTTGCATTACGTTAGGTACCCAGACAGTGTAATTGTAGTGTTCCCAATACTTAGATAGGAAATATTTCAGCTAGCACGGTGAATTAATTGCTTCAGGTATGGAAAATGTCTAATTTTAAGTGCTGTCCACGGTGAATGCAATTTACCCATCCAGACTACATGAATTCTGTCATCTTTTCATTTATTTGTAGGTGCAGCGTGGATAATTTCTTTGCTGTAGGTGAAATGAGACACCTGCCTTTGTGCATTCGTGTGAGGGCAGGTTACAGTGGCTCTCTGCACATTTCCTCAAGCCTAAGAATTAATTACATCATGTTTCATACTTGATTCATACTTCATGCATTTCATACTTGAAGCTAACTCCACCATTACATGGCTGGTTTTGCACTACCCAGTTTCAAGATGTAGCAGTAGCTGCCTTTCGAGTCCCAGGAGCATTGTTTCCTGGCATTTAGCCTCTAACCTTATGTTTCTAGAAAGATGTTGGATATTTTAGATGTAGAAACGCTTCTGCCTTTAAAGAAGAGGTAGTAATGTTTAGGATATCTCTTGAAATATGTAATTTATGAGGGTTTTAAAGCTTGAGAGTAAGCAGGGTTTTATTTTTTTTCTGTTTGGGAATATTTTTGCCCAAGGGATCAGTGACCTGTTTCTCCCAAAGCTTTGTGGGTTTTCTGTATTTAGATAAAGCTTCTCCATAACCTGAGATAGTTTTTTTCTTTCATCCTCATTCCTTCCCGGGCATGACAAACCCCATGTTTTCTCAGCCTAGTGTTGAAATTTTATTCAGGTTGTAAATATTTATTTGCAAATCATGCCTTCAGATCCACACTTGCCAAAAAGATTTTATCCTGTCATGAGACGCTTGACTCCTTGCCTCGTTTCTCCTTGCAGCTCTATTTTGGTTCTTTGCTTCACATTTAGTAATTTGAAGCTTTTATTTCTGCTTAGTGCCATTTTTCCCACTTACATGTCTCATTGATCCTGCCTGGTTTATGGTATGTATGAAATGCATCTGAGGAGGTTCATGAGTTTGGGTTTTCCTTTTTTTGGATGGACAAAGCCTGATGCAAAAGGTTCCTGCTGGCTTTGAGTTACACTTGTCATCCATTTATTATTTAGCGTGTCCCAAAGGAAGTTTGTTAAAACAGATATATTTCTTTGCATTTCACTGTCTCAGCTTAGGTACCTTGGTGTCTTGAAGGTCACATTCAAGTTTGTTTTAGCAGCTGTGATGATTGTAAACGTTGGGATAGTTCTTTTTGTCAGGATTTGCAGTAAAATTGCTTGGCTTTCACTGCAGTCCTTGACAAAGTATTATATCATGACATTTATTGTTCTAGATGGATTACAAAAAACAACTTCAACATGTTCCCCCCTTAGTTCACTAATAATTTATCTGTCCATCTGTATGTTCCATTTATTTCATAAAATTATCTGTGCTGTGCTGTATACTTTTCACTCTTTTGCAGATTTTTAAATGTATGTGTTCTCTGTGTGTGCACACAAACACACACATTTCTGTATACATTCTGTATTTATTTTCATACATTCTTTGGGGAGAGATGCAAAGAATTTTTTTGCCATAGAATTCTCATGTAATTCTGTTGCTGAAATACTCCTGCTGTCTTCTTTGCAAATGGGATTCAAGAACGTCACAGAGTGGGGAACATCCCAGGGTAGTACAATATTTGTATTCTAAATATAGCAAATACCACAAATACCAGAGAAGCAAATGTCTGTATCCCAACATCAGATGGATCCCCCAGACAATTCAGTTCCCAGACTGAGGAAATTTGAAGTATTAATTTCTTGTAATTTCTTCTTTATGATGGCTTGATTCAGAATAATTTAACTAGCCTCTAGTTCCCATAGTCCAAGATACCTGGCTCTGGGAGCAGAGGTACATGGGATAAAAAACCTTTTGCCTATTTGGCAAACTTTGCTCAAAGAAAGTGAGTTGTAATATTAGGAAGTCATGACAAATCAAGGTTAGGCAGCCTCTAATGTTATGCTTCATTTTATTTATGGTATTTTGGCTTTGTTTTACCATCTTTTCACAGCTTTGAACCTGAGAACAAGTTCTTTTACATATGCCTTTTTCTGCTCAGACAAAATAAAGTCAGAAGGACTTCATGTTGCCATAAAATGTAGGTTGAGTTGTGGCCAAAACATAAAGCAAATCTGAACCCTGCAATCCATCCGACATCTGTGCAACATAGAGCAGGGTCTTGCAGGCTCTTTTGTTTTCATGGCCAATATGCACAGTGACTCCTTGTAAGACTCCTCTGTGACTGCTTTAAGAATGTACAACCAAAGCATCATCCAATATCAGGTTGATGCAGGGATGAAATGAGGCTGGAGCAGTCCAGAAGGCCATTCTGGCAACTTCTGCTAGGATAACTCTTTTTATTTTAAATTTGAGCCAGGCTCTGCCTTTCCGTGGCCGTTTGTTTGGAAGGAGGGCTTTTCTAGGAAGGATGTGATCAGCCTGAAACGATGAAGCAAGTAAGAAGATACGAAGAGTGCTGGAGGGACAAAGCAGAGAGATGAGCAGAGAGGAAGAAAGACAGAAACTGAACTGGAGGAGTGAAAAGAAAAAATGGAAAAAAACAGGGAGAGTGAAGAAGGGGCAGCTGGAAAAGAGATGCAAGAGTCCTATTCAAGACCCACTATAATCTCTGGGGCATTCATTTTTCCTAACCTGTGTATTGCTTAAACTAAGCCTAGGGCTTGCTACAGTTTTAAGTGGTCCTAAAACTGGCTGTGAGCTCTTTTCTGGGTGGACTTGGCAAATGCAACTGATCTTGTTTCTCCTTGGGACTGTTTCAGGGAGGAGCACTGCAGCTTGGAATATTAATAAGTCTTCCCAGTTAGTGGGAACCACTGTCTTTAAGAAGATGAGCTTGTGCATGACAGCTCAAAACCAGGGAGAAAGTGAACAAAGGAAAGAGGGGAGAGGGAGAAGCAGCAACTATTGAAATAAGATATTAATAGGTAAGAAAAAGCAGAATTAATAAAGGCTTTTTAAAACGTGCCATCAAGAACCTTGCCAGTGCAGAATTATTCATGTACATTTACTATTGTTTTTATCTGGCTAGGCAGTAAGATTTCTGCTGCTTCCCTTGGGAAACTTTTCTGCAAGGGAATAATTCCTACATTGGGAAAACGGTTTTGATATTGGTCTTAAATTAGATTTTCTGAATTTTCTCCTATTACTTTGAGTTATATCAAGTCATGCTGTACTAAATTGCCCTCTCCTTCTATCTTATATCTGTAGATGATTGTTACTGTCTACTTAAACCCCCTGCAACAATGAGTGCTAGCTATGAGTACGACATACCTATGATCCCAGTAGGTATCTACCTCTGTCTGTCTATAGATAGGGGCTGGTTTGCTCCTTCCTTATTGGCTCTGCCCAGGGCTTTAGCTTTTCTTCAGGCTCTGGTTTGGGTGAACTTTTCCGGAGAAGAGGTCCCAAGCCAGAGTGTAGCACACCAGGTGCCATCACATCTGAGCCAGGGAGATGGATCCTCTAAACTTCATTCCTGGATGATGTCTTTGAGTATACAGACCGAAATAGCCTTGGCTGTGTTCGTTGTTGCAGTCTGATGTTGCAAACCAGGTCTCACCTACTGTCTGTAAATCTCTTTCAGCTTTACAACTTTCCAGTCTTCTTCCATTCCTCAAACATCTGTCCTTTGGATTTTTTCTGTGTGTTTCTTAGCTGTATTTTCCAAACAGAAGCTCATTCTATTACTTTCTACTCCCATTTCTAATGACTCCAAGTCCTTTTGTGTTTTTTTTTTTTTTTCCTGTTCTGCCAAGTTCTCATAGTATCTTGTAGTCTGCAGATATCATTACTGTTTGATTTGTTGCTGCTTCTAGAAGATCCATTCAGATATTGCATAAGAACAGATTTAGCACATGTCCCAGGCAGCACACTGGCTGACACTTCTGCAGAAGTGACTTAAAGGGTAGGAGAAGAGGTTATGATGGTGTTCATACCCATGGCCTCAACAATTTGGGCAAAGTGATGAGACCAAATAAAACAATTATAAAAGGGACATTGGGAGGTGTCATTATGCCTGTGGGAGAAGAGGGGAGGGGAATATTGGGCTGATCAAGGAAGGTGGGAAGTAGGCATGTTCTCTCTGTGTTTTGTGGGGAGAAAAAGATGATTAATACCAGTGGAAATAAGCACATACTTTGGTTGTTTGTAAGATTTCTACTGCTGGGTTGGTTTTGGCTTATATTAGAGCAGTGTTCTCACAAAATCTCTTCCCCTCACTCTGCTTGTGAAAGCATGAGGAGGAAAGTACACTCAAGTGAAAACAATGTCCTTGAGGGTGAGGCAAGCTTCTCCTTTCTGGAAGAGAAAGTGGGGTCTGGTTGTGGTGATTGGGTCCAGCTCTGTGTGCTCTGAAGTGCAGGTAAAGCTTCCCTGCCTTCCCCCTTAGGTGAAGCTCTGCTGTTGGGTGGCCCATGCCACCCCGGAGGCTGTTGTCTGTCTCCTCCAGGAGATGTGGAGGGTTGGATGGAGCCATCCTGCAGGTTGAGACATGAGCCATCACCAAGGATCACCTTGGATTCCACTGCTTATGTTGGGAAATAGGACTTCTAAGCCTCAACCACTAGTTCTTCCCTAGGCTCTTGTTCTCCCCTACCTTTGTGGTACCATTCTGAGATGTGGGATATTTAAAGCAGTGTAGCTATGCTTTAAGTGGAGATACACTGAGGTTCTAGATATTATCATAATACAAAAAAATGATAACAGCACATTTAATGAATTATTTCCACTTCAGTTTTGCTTTTGCACTTGTCTTCACAGTGGATTCTGTACTGCTGCCCTGGCTTAGTTTAGCCAAGACATAACACACCCGTTTTCCTGTAGGAAGTGATGGGCTCTTGCTCTCCGGGCCAGGCATGATGCCTGCAGCTCTCACCTTCCTGGGTCTTGTCTGTGTCTCTAAATACTCGAAACTGTGGTCAGGAGTCACTCCTGACTACTGATTACTGCTTCTTAAAATTCATCTGTGTCCACAAGTCATTTAAAAAGCATTTTCCACATCTGTCCCTGGGTGCCCCAGCCCATCAAACTAAACCACCAATCTGGTTTTCCACAGCTGTCAATTTTGCTGCTCTTGTTTCCACTGGATTGCAGGGAGCAGAGCAACAACTGCGCAGGGTCCAGTTTTCCATTCCTCGTCTCGCAGCGAGCTGTCTGGAGTCAGGGTCTGGCCTGCTTTGTAAAGCCTCCGCCGGCTGAAGTGCCTTGGTTTTTTTCCTCTCTTTCTGGCACTTCAAATGCTCTCGGGGCCCCGTGGTTGAGATCCAGGTTTGTCAGACGGGGGGGTCAGACAGGGGTTGTGGTGTGAGTGCTGGGAGGTGACCTGTCAGCGCCGGGCTCCAGTCACCAGCGCAGCGGGGTGCGCAGAGGAGACCTCGGTAGCTGCTGCTGGTCCAGGGACACCTGGGGAGAGTGGCAGCTCCTGAGCGTGCTGTGGCTCTCCCAGAGCAGCAGTGGCCCCAGGAGAGGGGTGCAATGAGGAGAGCACCCCGCAGCTTCTGCTGCTGCTGTGGTGGGACGCCGGAGCCAGAGCCCGTTGGTGTTGGTGGAAGGACCCTCGTTGCTTGGTGGCTGGTGGGTCAAGCCCCACCTGCACAGTGTGTGCAGGAAGAGGGACATTGTTCTGTTCTTAGTTGTATCACTGCACCCGAGTACACCAGCCTTTCCCTTTTCATACTTGCAGCACTTTTGAATGCTCTCACAGTAGAGGGTAAAATATTGCTTCTCCTTTTCCCTTCTCTGTCCTCACTTTCTGCCTCTGATTCCATCACTTAGCAGTGCTTGCCTGGGGAAGGAGGAGTAGAGAATTGGCTTTTTCTATGGCAGACACTGACATTTGCTTCTTCCTTCTCTGCCCAGCCTATGAGTAAGTGCCATCTTTATTTCCCCTTCCTTCAGAAGATGAACGTATCATCTTTGTGCTCTACTCCTGCCTTGTGTATTTGACTAGCAGGTATCAAGCAGCCTTCGACATCCCCTGGAATCCCTCTTTGGTACTTGGGAAGGTTTTCTTTTCAAGTCATTTGTGTCACTGCAGAAGGAGTTAAGGGTGAAATAGTTATTTTTGTATTGGTAAAACTCCATTGTATTTATTCATGCCTGAACCTCCTTCAAAAATGTGTGCTGGAATGGCTACTTAGGGTTTCTGTCTATGGTGATCAAACACGATGTAAACAGAAGGTTTCTCAGTAATTTATCACACAATAAAATCTTAGAAGAGTGGGAATGACTGTGCTGGTGGCTGCACATACATTGATGGATTGTCTGCTCCAAAATGCTTACATCTTGTTAAAATAATAATATGAATAGGTTGCTCAGCAGGGACAATACATACAACACTGTACAGAATATAAACCAGGCTTACAGATCCATGCTCTTGGCATTAAAGATGTTTTAACCTAGAAGGATGGGACCCATGAGGGGGATATTTTAAGTTTTATCCTACTTCGTAATTGTAAATTCCCTTCTAGCAGGGCCTCATTTGTAACAAGATATATATTGAATTAGCTAAACAGTTAATTGATGAAGATCTGGATTTAACATGAGTGCCTGTAAAGAATGGATACAATTCATCCACAGTGTCCAGTAACACCAGTGAAGTCAGTGAAATAACACCAGGATTGAATTTGATTCCTTCTGTCTTTGCTTATCAGCAATACAACTTGCCCAGACATTTTATGGGGAAACATTTGCCTTAGGCTGTTTATACTGGCTATGCTTAAGATTGGAAGGGGAGGGGAAAAAAAGAGCAGCTGTAGGAAGAAATCACAAAAATATTTTGTGTAATGTTCTACCTCTTTTTTCTCTCTCCTTTAATAACAGGGCAGCACGCTGAGAAAGCGGAAGATGTACGAAGAATTCCTCAGCAAGGTCTCCATTTTGGGTCAGTTGCCCTTTGGACTTGCCTCTTAGTTCCTCTGTTCTGTGTGTTGGCAGAATGAATTTTGGTCTTTGGTGGCACGATGAAAGCAATGGTGATCAAACAGAAGGTCTTAACAATAACATTGTTTCTGAAGGAATGAAAGTGTGAAGGGCCCTTTTAGGACTTATTTTTCTCATTCTTTAATATGCACTGAACATCTGTTTGAAGGACAAATCTTTCTTTAAATACAGAGAGCAAGCATGCTCTGGTAACCTTTTGGTAGCTGCTCTTGCAATGAAGATGATACAAATAGAGGAGAAAGCAATGTAGAGAGATGAAATTCTCATAAAGTCTAGTTACGTCCTTCCAGGTGACAGGTGAGAAGCTTTTTCCTACAAGAATATAGTATTTAACTGCACTAAACAAAGTAACCTTACAAATCAAAACAGACTCATTTTTTTTTCCTTCTGCATATTTTACAGCCCCTGTCTCACATTCTTAAAACATCTGTTTAGCTTCTTGTCTGTGGATTTTGTTTCCCTTTGATTAATGTGATAGCCACGAAATTTGGACATGTTCTTGATGGCCTGCAGTAGGAAAAACAACAAACCTATAATGTCTGACCAATCAATCACCATTAGGAGAACAAAAGCTTCTAATAAGGAAGACAGTGTTAGACAGGACAATGAAATGTTGATTCTGTAGGAAAAACATCATGTTTCTGCCAGGGCTATTTAGAAAAAAACAATTCAGGATTAATTTGCTATATAATTAAAGTCTTTCTATTGCTACTTAAACAAATTCCATTTCTTGTTTATGGTATTCATTTATTATTCTAGTTTAGGTACCTAAAATGTGGAAGTGTCTTAGTGAAAATGTACATGAACTTCTGAAAGGTGCTATCCATGAAATTTTCAATTATATTTGTATGCTTTAAGTAAGGCCAAGTATATTGTTCACTTATTAATGAAGTTTTCCATCACTTAAATGCCTTCCTTTATGCTTAATTTAAATCTTCCTAAATTAAGAGCACAAATTATAGCAAATTACAATGAGTATTTAAAGAAAAAAGAATCTCTGCACCTGCACTAATGAGGAGCAATTACAACAATGAGACATCTCAAAACAATTTCAGAGTGGAAAGGTTAGTCAAAGATGTGCTTCCTTAAACATGCGGTTTGCAATCTAATTATAACCTAGTTTGTAGAACAGCTTTTGAATCTCAGTAAAAAAAAAGGAAGGACTTCAAGATTTGAACCTTTTTTAAGTACGGAAATGCAGTGGAAAAAAACTAACACATAATTTCTGCAACATGGAGAATTTTGGGGAAATGTGTAAGGATCTATTTCACATGTCTAAAAAGTAGATGACACCTGGGAAACAGAAAGGTATTTTAGAAATCTCAACACAGAGTGGAGAAGTCAACTTCACTTTGTGCCTTAATGTGGTCAGAACTCAGTGATTTCTTGGTGGAAAAAAAAACTCTGCCTACTTATATATATTTTTTCAAGGCCTGTCTAGTGTCTGTAACTAGTCATAGAATTGTAAGAGTCATATATTTTAAAAAATCTAAAGATTTTTAAAATTACCAGAAGCTGCTTATATTGTGTCAAACAAGATAAAATGAACCTAATTTTATTAAATCTTTCTTCTGGAGTTTAATTAAATGTAAAGCCATTAATTGATAGATACAATTTAGAAATTGCAAAAAATTGCATATGGTCAACCTTATTTGATGCCTGATTTATCTGTGCAATTAAAACTCTAGAAACTTTGTCCTGTACAATATCTATATAATGCTCTGTTTGCAAGAATCATGAACTAATGTATTTGTGGTGGTACAATCCCCTTAGACAAAAGAGACACACTTCGTGACTAGAGCTAGAATTAGCTTTGAATTTTTCATAAAGCCAACTTAAAAAGATATTTCAAGAGACTCTTTCTTTGCATTGTTAATTACCAAGGCAGGGTTTTCTTAAAAAAAAAAAAAAAAAGAAAAAAGAAAAAGCCTACTTTAGTCTGTATGAAAGAGTTTTATGCTTATTTTTAGCCAAACAGAGAACTTTTTGAATGTTGCATTGACAACATGGGCTTGGTCTTTTGATATTAATGCTTCTGCAGCAAAAGTCACAAATACACCAGGAAAGAACAGCAGCAGAAAGTGGAATACAACCACTTAATAAAACTCAACCAAAAGGCTTTTTGACGTTTAAAGAACAACCCTTTCACCCCCACACAATACTTCTAAGCAATATTGTGAAGAAAATGGGAAAACCAGAGTAGAGTCTGAGAGAACAACCCAGATCTAATCCTGGTGTCAGAAGCCATGTCTTGACTTACATTAGTTCAATAATTCATAATAAGTAAGAATCAGCAAAGCTCTAGTACATGAATTTTAGCCCTTTTTTTTTGAGGCTGTGAAGGTTATATCATTGTATTGTCTGTTTCTTTTAATAACTTTTAAACCTGTCACTTCTTTCAGTCAAATATGATAAAAGTACAGAAGTTCAAGCACAATTCATTGTCTTGAATTCTTATGCAAATGAATAGAGGAGAGAGACACAGGTTGGCAGCCCTCCTCTCCCCAGGGGCAGGAGAGGTAAAAGTCATCCCTTGGCAGACCCAAGAGGAGGAAGGCAGTGGGACAGTGAGCAGCCCTGGTCAGCTGCTGAGTAGGTATCACAGGGGATTTGTGGCAGCTGCAGGTGGGTGATGAGGACACCAAGCCACAGGAAGCTGTGTTAGCTCCATTACTCATAAAACAGAGTGGTAGTTTGTAATTATTGAGGCATATGTTGAAGTTTTTTAACTTTTCCCTCCAAGTGGTGGAATGAAAAGAAAAACACTTTGTGAAGCACCCTGCTGGCAAGTGAAAGAGGTGCCACTTCAAACATCATAGAATCACCATGGTTGGAAAGGACCTCTAGGATCAAGTCCAACCTTCATTCCAACATTTCCCTAAACACTAGACCATAGCCTTAAATGGTCTTCTGTTTTGAACACCTCCAGGGATGGTGACTCCACCACCTCCTTGGGCAGCCTGTTCCAGTGCCTGACCACTCTCTCAGTGAATAAATTTTTCCTAATATCCAATCGAAACCTCCCTTGGTGCAACGTGAGGCCATTTCCTCTCATCATCAGTAATTTGGAAGAGACCACCAGCAGCCTCACTACATCCTCCATTTAGGTAGTTGTAGAGAGCAATACGGTCACCTCTCAGTCTCCTCCAGACTAAACAACCCCAGTTCCCTCAGCCGGGCTTCCTAAGGCCTGTTTTCCAGCCCTCCCACCAGCCTCGTTGCCCTCCTCTGGACCTGTTCCAGCACCTCCATGAGCATCCTCATCCCTAGGGAGCCTCTGTGCTCGCTGCCACCCATGCTGCTGGCTGCAGTGGGGTGTGGTCACCCATGGGGAAGAGTCATCCTCTAGATGGACCCTTTTGCACGGCCTGTCCAGTGGGCCATCGGTCACCGATGGGAGCGACTCTGATGAAGGGACAGTAGGACTTGTTCTGACATCTGCTGTGGGATGGAGTAAGAGAACCTCACGGGCATCTCCAGACAGCTCCAAGGCTGCTCCGCTCCGCTGCGGCGTGGGGGCCAACTTTTCCTCTCCAGCTTCTCAGATGATTATCTGGGCGATTACTGAAGTCTAAGGCACAATGAATAAATACATTCATCTTCCCCAACTGGAGGTTCGTGCAAAGTGCCTGGATGAAAGAAATGTTTCTTTTATAACAGAACCAGGCATAGCAGAGCTGTCAGTTCAGATACGAATCTTCAGCCAAATTTAGAGTCTTTTTATAATAAAGCTTTATGATCTTCAATATTTCAGAGTCCCTGGACAAATGGGAGCGGTTGACAGTGGCTGATGCGCTGGAACCCGTCCAGTTTGAAGATGGAGAAAAAATTGTTGTGCAAGGAGAGCCCGGTGATGACTTCTTCATTATTACTGAGGTGAGATTGGTGTCCTGATAAGCTCTGCCATTTCCTGATAAAGATCAAGACTTGGAATTAAAAGACATTTGGGTTGAGTTTAATCTCCTACCTCTGCATAAATCTGAACTAATTCCACTCGAACCAGGAGAATTACTCAAAATTCAAATGAATTCTGACACGAGTTCCATGGAAATGCCTTAAGTGGGACAATCCCTAGTTTCCAGTAAATTGAAGATGCAGAGGAATTTTGAGGTGTGTCTAGTCTTCTTACTGTTTGAAGGTTTGTTTTCTAAACGAGGTTTTTCTTGTTTCAAATGGCCAGTCCTTCACCCAGGCTGGCCAGCCACACGGTGCATTGCTCATTGCTCCCACAGGGACATCCAGGGGAAATCACAAGCAAACATCTGTAAACTGGAGCAGGAGACCTGATCTGAAAAGGGATAATTTGTTCTTTGTTTTGCCTTAAACTCAGCCCAAATGGCTAAACCATTTTCTCATTCACTCTCACACAGGCAGACAGATCTGTCAGACAGCTGAAAATGCTGACATCTTTTTGGGAGATTATCTGACACTTCAGTTCCACCATCTCACTTCTGCAAGCAGATGCTGACGGGTTGTTTTTCCTTCCTCTCTGATAAAAATATTTGGATCCTTGGTATCTCATGCAAATACCTGGGCACTGTGATATAACAAGTTATAAAAAGGTATTAGAGAGACTCAGACTAAGAATGAGAAGACAGCATTAGGATGTGATTATGTATGTATTGAAGTAGGAGCTTTTTGGTCCCGGCTGTGAGTGTTCACACACAAAACTATAGATGGAATGACCAACATATGGCTGCGTGGTGACAGTTCAAGTGCATATGCCAGGCCAGATGTTACAAGATCAGCAACAGTGCAGTGCTAGCACAGGAACTAGGAGGTAATCTAAATCCCTCATTGGGAGAAGGTAGGTCAGATGGATGTGAGGAAGCTGGTAACACTGTGCTGCCTTGGGATCCAGTTGTATGCACACAGAATACACTGCTGGCTCCATCAGGCTGCTGTGTTGTGATGTGATTTAGGAGGAAAGAGACTCTGCCCAGCTCAGGTGATAAAGGGCTTGTACAGTGCCCATTCCAGATGGTTTAGAGGCCAACAGGTTTTTCTTTGCTTGCTTCTTATCTGTGGATTCTTGGACAGGTGCCTCTATCCAAGGCAGTCAGAGTTTGGTTCATCATCAACACTTAAAATTCCATCCTTCTTTCCTCTTGAGTCTTGGAAGTACATATTTGATTTATGAACATAGTTTCCTCTTCTGATGCTCAGAAAATTGTCAGTGCAAATAACTGTCTCTGCAAATAATAATCACACAGTTAGACATTTAAGGAACTTTAAATATGGGATAAGCAGTGCCCCTTCAAAACAATAGTGTCAGAATGAAAAAGGACTAAGTATTAGATAGGGATTTGTCGTTGTTGTTGTTGGCCAGATATTTAGTATAGAACAAAAATTTAGGAAATACAGCTTTTTTTTCAGAAATATGGAATTTTTGTTTCTATCAGTGTTACTAAGCGTGCTGTTATTCCTTGCAGCAGCATGAGACTAGAGAAACTTAATTTTCCTAGCCATCAAATCCCATGTGGAAAATTGGCAGCTTGCTTAAGAATTACCAAGGGCCTTTATTTTCCCCCTCTTGATGGAACAGCTGTTAAGACTTAAATGGGTAGAAAAGTATTAACACTGCATACTGTATAATTGTCAAGTATCTGTTCACCTCACCCTTCCACTATAAATCTAACATAGTTTCTCACTTTGGAAATTGCCTATATTTTTCTGAACACCCAGTATCAACTATGTCTTGTGCTGCAGTAGTATTTCTGCCTGCTCACACATAGTTTAAGGTTTGTATTTTAAACCTGATTTCATAGAAGTTTGCATCTTTGGGATTAAACTTTTCTGCAGGAGGGTTGATGTGAGCTGCCAGGAACACATTATTCTACAAACTGGTTAAAAGTAGTTTTGGCTGGTTTGTTGTCACAATATGTTGAAAATTCATTAGCTTCTTTCATATGTTTTTTGATGCTTGTGGCCTTATAATCCAAACACTAGAAATGCAGCCAATTTGTTTGGCTGCTGTATATGCAGAAACCATTTCATATATAACCAGAATGCAATCTCCTTTGAAGCACAGTATGTCCAGTAGTACAAAGCAAACCTTTGCCACACAATTTTTGGGCAAGGTATTCATTCATTATAAACCACAGTCATTTGTGGCATGCTTTAGACAAATCAGTTACCAATTTACAAAGCTTTGATGCATCAGCATCACAGATACCAGTTCCAAGTGTGATCTTGTGACTCCTATGACAAAAGCTTCTCTAGGACACCCAGAACTCACACATGGATTTTAAATTGTTAGCACACTTTTGTATGAGCTTCATAAATGAATTGTTCATTTCTGGTTAGCCTACAATGCTGCCTTCCTCTGTGACATCTCCTTTGGGATAGCATCTTGTAAGTATACTGGTCCTGCAGAAGGACAGAGCCTGTAAGTGAATCAGCACCTTCAGGATTTGCAGACTGAAGAGCAAAAAAATGAAACCTTTTTGAAAGGGCCATTTCCAGCCCAGGTGATGATCAGAACAGCAATTCCTGCTTTAAACCAGGACTATCATCCTGATTAATATGGGCACGAATATTTAGTCTCCCCTTTCTGTCAAGCAAGCACATTCACCTTTTCTCTGTTGTTTTTTTAGTACAACCTTTTTTCCATGGATTTCTGTCCACCATCTTAGCTCCAGTCTTGCACAGATTGTAGCAGGGTGCAGATTATTTTAGGTGCAGGCTGAAAATGCTACATGAAAATGCTGCAGTGCCCCATGGAGAGCAAGGCTGCAGCAGGAGCTCAGCCACATTATTAGAAGACTAGAAAATGTGCACAGGGAAGAGTCACAGGAAACCAGGGCTTTCTAAGTTCACTGCTCACAAAGCTATTTAGCGTTCATTTTTTGTTAAAAAGTAATGAGAAAAGTATTACCCTGAGATTACAGAACATCTATAGTTTTTTTCTGCCATCCTAAATCTTCAGAGACACCAGGAAGATGTTTACTTGCAGTAGGTTGGGTGCTTTTCCATTTAAATCTCAAGCAGCCTTCAACAAGATTCAGTTTTAATATTTAAAGGCTGTGATTTTTTTTTTGTGGAGATAGAATTATTTTAATGTTTATACCGTATTCCTTAATTTGAAGATAGGATCAGAAGTGAATGTCTGCTTACAAAAGCAAAGTAACCGCTTCTGTGAGATTGATTTACTGCTCTTGAAACTGGTAATTAAAAAGAAAAGCAGCAGCCTTGCAGTTTCTGTATTTTCAGATATTTCCAGGTCTTATTTTCCCACTATGGTTTTCACACAACAAACTCGGGCTTTCCCAGACCAGACAGATGTGGAATGTATCTGCTGGATTCCAAGGTCATGGAATTATCCCATATGAGATTCCTGGCACAGAGGTGGAAAACTTTAAGCACCATGAAACAATTGTTGCCATAAAGAATTATATTTTGGCAAGCATAAATCATAACAGATGTACAGTTTCTAACAAATAAATTTGCAGTTGTATTGTACACTGCCACACTGTGTACCCAGCAGTAGGGAGGATTTATTCATCTGACTCGAGATAACACAAATATTTTTAGCTAGCATTTTAAAGTGGTAGCTTGCAAAGGCATGTGAGCTCTGCAGAGTTAAATATCCCAGCAAATGTTAAGTCCCCTTAACTGAAATGCCAGTCGAATGGAAGCTGATTTTATTCCAGACTTGTGCTTTGCCACTGACTTCAGCTCCAACAGTAGTTCAGACTAGTGTAGTGGTGCTCTGAAGCTGGAAAGAAATAAGGTTTTGCTGTTGTCTAGGTTACTGAGAAAGGTAGTGACAATAGTCTTAAAAATAGCGGTTGTGATCACGTACCACTCTCAAGTTCAGATTCAAACTTGGCTGGGTGGCACAGTACCTTGAAGTCCATAACGAAGCTGCCAAAAATGCAGGGACCTGCGGGCGTGGAGCGCCCTGCTGGGGGTTCCAGCCCCCACCCCTGCCCATGTCAGAGCCTCTGGATCTCCTTGTCATGAGCGAGCACTGTACGCGGCACACGGGTCTGCTCACGGGACTCCCCGCCTCTGCTCGGGGAGTCTCCTCATCTCAGCTGCACACTGAGAGCTTGCTGAACTGCTGCCATATGGCCCTAATACTCCAGAAAGCTTGACATGGCTTATGAAAAATGTGTGCACAGACACAAACGTGTGCAGGTGTAGGAGCAGAGAACAGCAAAAGGTTTCTAATAGTGCCACAATGCACCCAGAGAACACAGCTTGTAGCTGTCCTTCAGATGTGCTCTCCATAGCCTGTCATCCCCTTGGAGGACAGTTCAGTTTAAGTGGTGCAGAAAGCAAAGAAATAAAACTGCATGAGAAGTAAAACATTTCCAATTAATAGCTGGTCGAGCTGCCCAGCAATAGCATGCAGCAGCCTAAAAATAAAAGACCTAAAAATAGAAGATAATGCACAGGAGAAAATTCAAGGACAAATGGACCCAGTGTATCAAGTAGTTTCACTTTAGATTTTTTGTTTTAACTTTAAAAACTACTATATTTAATTGCAGATTAGTGCTAAGTTACGAAGGGCAGTTGCACCCTCCTCTGCAACTCCTTTGTGAAAAGCACTTCAAAAATGCTGGGGATTTGAGTTCTTTGTTATTATCCTGCTGGTTAAAGAGGAGACAGACAGTCAGGACATTTGATTTTCAGCCTCACCTGTGTTATCAGTCCAGTCTGTGGGCAAAATATAGTGAGAATAATCCTAATGACACGTCATAAAGGTGAGCAAAAACTTAATAGGAAAAGGCACAAAGTATCCATCAGTACTGAGACCAGGCAATGGAAATAACAAATTGTCAAATACGAGAAAAAATCTCCTTGATAGTGGAAATGATAGTCCAGAATTAATGCATAGAGCTGCCTTGTGGACAGAAATGCATCAATTT